GGCATCCACCTTTGCATGTGCGGTACAAGGAACGCTTAGACATGTCTGTAGGGCCCCGCACTACTGCTCTTTAAACACTGGATTTGCATCACAGGCAAGGCCACCAGTGATAACGGGTACCGTAAGCGGGAGATGGCTGCTATGTGAGTAAGCCACAAGGCTCATGTCGAGGTGCAACTATGACCACGGGTATGAATTCGTTAAATCACTTTCTTTACCTGGAGCGCCTCGGTAGCTGAAAACATCAGCCATGTAGTCGATCCGAAGCCCCAGCTACAGCATGCCATGGGATCCAGACACCCTCTAAAAAACACTTGAGTGATTGCGGTGAGCAGTTTTCCGCAGCTGTATGAGCAGGACCTCTGTTGTCTACACAAGGACAGCACTTCGGATGAAGCTTCAACATAGCCGGACGTTGCAGTTGTGTGCAATTATACAGACTAATTTTATTTCCTGTAATGCTAGTGGCAAGCCTGCTGCAACCGCGGCTTGGTGTGTCGCGGAATGTCAGCTACGCGAGAAGTGACGAAGCGACAATCGTGACGCGTTCTAACCTTGCACACTTGCGCTGCATGAAGGCTGCATGAAGGCTGCATAAGACTTCTAGCTGCCATGGTATGTGGGATCTGCCGAGTTTCATTTTTGTTGATAACTGCTCCGTTTATCAAAAGCACACTGACAAAATGAAGGTAAGGAACATTAACTGTGTGTCCAACTGGCAATTTCTAAGGAAGCCAAAACAATCTGTGTACAATCATCCTAATATCCTAGAATGCAGCTTCATCGGCTCCTATATCGCTTACACAACATAAACTCTCATGTCAGGCATGCAGCTTATTTAGCTTTCTTTAAATTTTACATGCATGCGATTTCGATAAAATGTTACTAAATATGTAACTCATCATGTCGCACTGCATTCCTCATGCAACCATATTTCTGAATTGTTTTCGTTTCTTGCAATATTTATTCTGCGAAGTATCCTCATACACTAATATCAAACACAGGTTTCAAGGGTATACTTTGAACATGGGGAGTTGTATGGCACATTTTGCAGTCTGCGTCGAGAATACTCGGAGCAAACGAATACTTTTGGGAAGTGTCACCTTTGCTGCTTCGAAATACTCTGTAAGTAGAAAGTCGCTTCCGTCACTGTCGAAGCAACCTCTTCTTTGTTGCTCATTTACATCGAAACGTAGCTCTTTCTTGTTTTGCTCTTCGCTACGCTCAGTTGGTCTTATCCTCTCTCGTCCTTTCAGTGCTCTTCCTCGCCGCGCAATGAGCAATAAGAGCAGTAGCGTGCAACCCCAGTTACCAAAGCGGTTCTTGTTCAGGATGGAGCCATGCCGCTGTGGTCTAGTGGCTAAGGTACTCGGCTGCTGACCTGCAGATCGGGGGTTCGCATCCCGGCTGTGGCGGCTGCATTTCCAATGGAGGCGGAAATGTAGGCCCGTGTACTCAGATTTGGGTGCACGTTAAAGAACCCCAGGTGGTCGAAATTTCCGGAGCCCTCCACTACGGCGTCCCTCATAATCATATGGTGGTTTTGGAACGTTAAACCCCACATATCAATCATCAATTGTTCAGGATAGAGAGAAAAAAATATTTATTTGGTCTAGAAGGAAGACTATGAAATACCTGTACATCCTCCTAACTGGACACCTATTGGGACAGGTAGGCCAATCCTCTATGCTTTGTGACGGGCGTTCCAGACAGCCGGGAGCTAGACATCATAGCAGTGGCCCACCAGGCTTCATGATTGCAGTCCTGCAATGCAGGGCGTCACCAGAGCCTGTTTCAACGAGCTCTCGTTGATGAGAACCTAGGTTTGGCCTAGTTGGGGGTAAGTCTTCAACATCCTGACTGCACAAAAATGCGAGGATGGAGGGAGGTACGGCGACACTGGCGGTGTTGTCATACCTTCCTCAGTCGCCGTCATTTTGTATGGTAATGTCAAATTGTATTCGCTCACACATTTCAAGCTATTCCAAAACTATATTTATAGCTTGCACACAAGGACGTAAGAGAGCTGGTGTTGTCTTGGGTCCTTGTGTGCTGAATGTGGTTTCGAATTCGTTTACTTACATGCCGAAATAAATGGTGATGCTAGGATTTGAAGACATTGTTGCTGGGGGTAACGGCTTTTGGTAATATTGAAAGGGACGCTGTCACAACCCGCTCACACTGCGGCAATCGCTGGATATATTCCCAAGGGCTTGAACTATAGGGCCCTCGAAATGCACCACAAAAGCACGTACCCTGTAAGTGTATGCCCTTTGGCATGCCACTGAGAGCTGGTCACAGTCAAAAGAGAGGCAACACTCTAACACAGGAAACGTAGTCTCAATTAAGGTAGTATGAGCATCTCACATACACACTTGTCTACCTAAGTCAGATACTAGTGCGGTGGACTTCAACATTGGGGCAACAATTAAGCAGTTGCACTCAAGTACGAGCTCAGGCACACAATACTGTTAATTCCTTTGCTATTCACCAATGAAGTTCCGTGTTCGGGAAACTCGCACAGACCTATATGCTCGTGATGACCGTATGGCAGATCAGTGGTTCTTCTTAAGCAAACCGTGGTATGTCCCTTCCAGTGTTGCATATGGGAGACTTTCCTTAAAGGGACCCTGAAATACTTTTAAGGTTTTTTAGGGTTTTAAGTCGTTCCCTGCACTGTAGTAGTATGTAGCCACTACTTGTTTATGAATGGCTCAATTGATGGCATTGTGTGTATATGTCTTTGGAAATATCACTAGATGGTATTAGTGATTTTCGAATAGTTTTGGGATGGACGCTTGGGCCGATTCATCATTCACTCTGCGGGTATGCTGAGAACTTTTTTTTTTTCAAGTAACCATGGTATGCATTCAATAGAATAGCTTATTGCCTTTCAAATTCAATGCCACAAAATATTTGAAAAATTTGTCGAGTCCAAGCGGAGTTACAAAGATTTGTTGCATTCTCTCGTACCAACCAAGTGCTGGAGGCGAAGCAGGAAGAACAGCAGAGGCAAAGAAAATATGTCACGCACACCTCGTGATCTTGAGCACTTTTTGTTTTGTTTTTTTCTTTGAGTACGCAGTTTCTTCAGTGGTATCACCCACACGCGCATGGACATGTCGCGGCCTCCTGCGATCCCTGTAACAACTGAGGGCGCCATGTCGAAATTGGCCAACAGCTGATAGAAGGCCTTCTACGAGTAATTTTTGAGATTCCTTCGTCATTTGTCGGGAGAAGGGAATGCAATTTTACTTGACTTTAGTCCTTCATTGTGAATTGCAGGCCGCGCGCTGTGCACTAATATTTGGCTCGTGTGCACTCGCGAGCTTCTGCGGCCAATTGACAGCGTTTTCTGACCATGCTCAAAAACTGTTGCAAGGCCCTTTTAATTCTCCAAAACTTAGTGACTGCATGGTGTCATCTGAAATTCTTCTCAGACCAATTGAATGACAACACATCATAACGCACCTCTCTGGATGGCCTAACTTCTTACACCAACCGCCCTCCCTATCACTGTCTCTGCACGCTTATATTGGGGCCACACTCGTTTCGAGAATATTTGACACATCTCACCTGCTCACAGTGCAGCGGAGGTTTGGGAAAGGGCGAGAAAGATTAGAGATATACGACTGGTAGTGGCTGACGCATCATCTTTAGCAGCAATTTCTTGATCTCTCCAGATCCGTGTCGGAGCTACCTGTTTCGGTGCTTTCTCCGGCAGAGAAAGGGCTGTGCGCTTTAAAGAGGCGGCCCTTGGCATTTTTTCTCGCGGCATGGGCTTGATTTGCCCGTGATTTCATGTTGCTTTAAAAGACAGTTCATAACCTGAAGAAGAGCAGCCTGGAGTCTTGGTGGATTTTGCCTTTGCCTAGTCATTATATGACAGCAGTGAGGCTCCGTGTGAGCGCAGCTGCGACGCTTCTGCGCAGCAGATCACGTGGTGTGACATTGTGTCAGCCACACTGGTTTTCCGGCAGCTCATGGCAATTTCGATGTGATTGACCTTGACAGACTGCTAGTTAAGCTTTTGCTTCCAAAAATACATCTTCCCAGCTCGAAGGAAGAGCGTCGGCTTATTGATGAGACAAGACAGCTTTGCCGAGAGGCAAGAAAAAAAGCCAGATGGGGCTGTAATTGAAAATTAGGGCAATTTCATGCGCGGTCACTACCGGTACAGTGCACTATCGGTACAGTGCACTCTTTTGGGCCTTCATTTCAAATTAACAGTTTGGAAGGTAATGTTAGACAGGCTATCAAAGCGGTTTTACCCAAAGCCCGGGGCACTTAATAAAGCTTAATGTTCAGCATTCTGATGCTAACCAGATTTGTGGCTGAATTGAGGTTAGGAAATGTTAGTAATAAATCATTAACATAACTTTGTGGGAAATCTCTGCAATGTCATTTTTAAGTTCATTTTTTTGTATTTCATTGTTGTAGCCACTCCTTAAACCTCAATTTGTTCTTCCTGTGTCTGAGCTGCTTAGCTACCATTTTTGTTATTTACATTGCATAACACCTTGCATATACATTGATTGAATCTAAGTTCCTTTCTTAGCAACATTAGTTGCGTCTCGAATCTACTTTTTTCTACCAAATATAACACCAGCTATGAAAAAAGTCGCGGTTTTTGGCAATGTTGTTTTTAAATGAATATTTTTTTATTTCACCGACCTTCAAATATGTTGCTGCTTATGTTTTTCATGTTTGTTGTAATTTTCATTGATAACTGATTCCTCTGTACAATTGCACATATTTTTCATTATATATATTCTCATCATATAGCATTGTACGTATTTATTGTATCTCCATTTATTTCTTTTAATGTTTCCTTTCAGCTTGCCTGTTACCTATGAATATTTTTGTCATTGGAGGGCTCAGCTGCAGGTGTTAGACTTTTGGGGCGCTGGTCTGCATACTACAGCAAATTCTTGTATTTTCAGTTTGTGGTAATGAACTCAAAACTCCCTGTTAACAGTATGAATTTTTTTTGTTTGCAGCTGTGATACAATGGAAGACAGATGTGCAGCAGTGAATTGGACCCAGTACCATGTGCAAAGTGCATCTTACGTGCCGTGGTACCACTATGCTCCACCTGCATCATTTTACCAGCAGCACCATTCCTATAACTATGTCGGGCCTCAAGAAGGCTATGGGGTTTATCAACCGCAGTTGTGGGACTACCATACCCGTGCGTGGCCAGACACTGCTGGTCAAGCCAGCAAGCAAGCAGCACCAGTGGTAGGCAACAAGATAGAGAGATCAGAAAGTGAAGCCTGTGTCCTTGATGAATGTCATGACCCTCTGCCCATGGACATTTCACCACCCACAAGTCCTGCGCCCAGCATTTCGACGAAATCGCCCACCAAATGTGCTGGCTCTGAACTGAAAAGTGATCTTCTGTGTTCCATCCCAACAAAACCATCTATGTTGACGACTATGCAGTTTTCTTCCATTAAGATATCCGAGACATCAGCACCAGTGCTGTCACTATTGGCAACGTGCAATGCTTGCATGAAGAAAATGTTGGCGACAGCCACAGGAACAGGTCCTGTAAATGAATCGTGCACTTGTCCAATAAATCTAGATAAAGCTATTGACCAGCAGAAAAAGTCTGGTAGTTCATCAAGGTATGAATCATCTGAGGTGCAGAACTTTGAGTGTGATTCAATAATGAAGCAGAAGCCTAAAGCAATAACTATGAATGATATGGCAGAACCCCGAAAGCGTGTGGTGGTCCAACAAGTGAATGGTGTGGCTAGGCTCATTACTTTCTCTAATAAATTTCCTGTGTCACACAACGTGCAGAATGCACAATCAAGAAATACAGGGCAAAGTAGATTATTCACCACACATAAAGGGCAGCAAGGCCCCTCTTCAGCAGGGTTGAACTTTTCAAAGCATTGCCTAAAGCAAAAGAGCACTGTCTCAAAAGATCCCCGAAAGGCTTCGCCTAAAATTGAAAAAGAATGCGCAAAAAAATTTGTTGGCCCAAGTAAGACTGCCTCAGCATGTGCAAAGTCTTCGTATACTTCTGCACAAACGCTCAAAAATCGAAGTGCTCGTCGTAAGAGACAGCGTATGAGGAAACGAGAGAAGTGTTTGCGCCTCTTGAACGCTGAGCAGAGTCTGACTGCAAATAAAGTCTGCTCATTCGCACAGCCTGCAAATTTAGCATCGACTGATGCAGAACGGTTAGTGAGCAGCACTAGCATGCAAAAGAGTTCTGGAGTGTCCCACAGTGCTACAGAGTCCGCCAACAATAGTTTGGAGACTATGCAAAGTTCAACAAAGTCCAGCATAGACATCTCATCTCGGATGTCTGAAGACAAACCTGTGAAGCCTAAGCGAGAAGATTGTCGGACTGATTCACTTTGCGCTGGGGACATTCGTTCAAGTACAAGGACTGGCGTACTTTCCACCAATGACATGGTCGTTGGAGGAAATGTGATGGGCATCTGGGATGCACCAAAAGCAGAAGTTGACCGTGAACTGATAACTTCTATTGAAATGTGTGTTGACCCAGAACTTGGTGGTTATATGGAACATGTAGATAGATCAGTTTCGTTCATATCGCAACTTGAAAAGCTTGACGAAGGCTGGGAGTGTTTTTTTGACTGATTGTATTGTCTGCATATTTCACCCGGTACTGATATGGATATATGTATATATATATATATAATCTTTTTTTAACAATACAGATTTTATGGAAAAAAAGAGGCATTACGTTAAGGCTCCTTTGGTCTTCGTAGGTGAACTCTGCATCGAGACAGATATAGAGGCCACTACTGCTAAATCGATAAGAATTAACCGACAAAAGCTCGTTAATGTCTTGATTTAAACACCAGAGCAGAAAGAACTGCAGGTCTTACAAGATACACAAATAAACTGCTTGTTTCTTTTTTTTTTGTCTGAGGTGTGGTTCTTGTGATCTGTTTGAGTATAAATAAGTGCTAAGCATTCATGCCTGGTCGCACTATCCATAAATTTGCCATAGCTGAAGACGTAAGTCAAAGTTGTTGGTTGACCGCTTGATTTTGCTTGCGAGAAAACACTAAACCCATGAACGCTGCTCGGCGTGAATGTGCAGTGATCGTCGGTGTAGCCAACGTCATTGGCAGTGGTGCCATAAAAGACGTCCTGAGCCGTCTTTTGTTTCTGTGAAAATGTCACTCTGGTATTTCGCTCAATTGGCTCTTTTGCCAGCACAGACTTTGGCTGAATGTGAGTCAGATTCATTCAGCGAGGTGCTTCCTGGTTCTGTAGAGAAGTATACAGCCTCTAAAATACGCTGCTGGGTGGCTGCCCCCGACTTTCGCACTGTACGCGGTCGAAAACTGAAAGGAAGGCGGAAGCAACTAAGCAGGTACGACACACTGGATAAGCATTTTGCTGGTTCGTGTGATATCCTGCTTTCAAGATACCACCTCGATGCTCCTTCACTCTAGTTTTCATGTGGGCCTTCAAATTGGATATCGTAAACGGCTCGATACTTGAGGTCTTTATACATTTTGCTTGCGTAAAGTAATGCCCTTCCGCTTCTGAATCGAAACAACTTAGCTCAAGTTGGTGCAGTTAAAAGTATTAAGAATAATATTTAAGTGTAATTGAGCAGTGGTGTAGCCAGTTTTTCCGTTTTACGTGAGGTAAGTCTGCCTGTGTCTTTATGTTGAATTTTATGCCGCATTGTTCGAAAACAAGCACTGTATGTCAAGGGCGTTGCATGGTGGATCTTTTTTTTTCTAATTTCTTTCTGCCTGTCTAATCGCTTTTGAATAAGATGTCTGTAGAGCTGCAGTACCTCTAATGTCCGAGATTCAAATACTCTGATTCATACAGTCGGATGATGGCGTAACATGACATTCTAGAGGGAGCTCATGAAACGGAGCCCTCAACTACGGCGTCTCTCATAATCACGTGGTGGTTTTAAGACGTTAAACCCCACATATCAATCGGGGAGCTCGCGACGATCAAAATCTTTCTCTTACCCTGGTATGCATGCGTTCTCATCTTTCATTGGTCCTCGTAGACTTAGTATCGAGTTGCGTAAAAGTGTCGTCCAAAATGGTCGTTCTGGAATGCCGTTTGTCATGCACTGCTGTAGCCTTGAATGTGCATCTGTAATTGCTAACTGGCACTTGAAACGCCGGCTTGTCCATTCAAGGGTGCCATGTTGTGTGATCATGGTAAAAACAATATGGTCAATACAGGCCTTAAACAACATTAAGAATGCTCAAAACTGCGTTAAAATGAGCGAAGACTAAAATATAACAAGTAATCGCAATGTTTAATTAAAAATGCCAGACATTTCGGAAACTAAACCTCCGGGCCACACTAAAGAGGGAGCCATCGCTCCAATGGCGATAGCTAAAGGGAGCCGTCGCTTAAAAAGGTAGACCACCAGTGATGCAATTTTATACGAGTTCCAAATCCGGACGGAGGCGTTCCGCTCGTTACCTCAAAAAGTGGATGGTCCGCATCGGTCGCGGGGACAAGAGGAAGTGAACAGCCAATTTACGAAATGGAGGCCTGTGTCATTTTTTACGTCGGCTTGAGGACCAATTAATTGAAACGTGACGCGTCCAGTGTCTCTGTGGGACGCGCGCCGTGTCTTCGATCTGTGAAGGACGTGCCCGGTGTCCCTGACGGACGGACGCACTCAGTGTGTCTGCAAGGGTGCGTGCGCAGCACGCTCGTAACATCACTGAGTGAATGATGATGAGTGGAGTGAAGCTTGAAAGAGTCTTCGGTAAACCGCGCATCCTCCGTTCGTCTGTCTGTCTGCTCATGTGTGTGTCTGCCTGTCTACGACAACGTAGGGTGGATTGAGCCACAGTGTAAGTGCATGGGGCCCGCTACGACGCCATGTTCTCAAAGTACCCGGATGCTGATAGATGCGAAGAGCTTACATATAAATCCAATCCATACCTCCTCGCAGCCATTTATATCCATCCGTTTCGTTTCGGACGGTCTCTCCGAGCGTTCCTTTCGCCTCCGTCCGAGAAACGGACGAAAACTGACTCGTGATACCTTGGCTCAAGTGACATAGAACGTCATGGCATTCGTCACGGCTGAAATGGGTCAATCGCGTGCGACTCGATGGAGCGGAAGCCTCCGTCCGGATTTGGCTCACGTGACACGGGTCACGGCATTCGTCACGGCTCAAATGAGCCAATCACGTGCGACTCGATGGAGCGGAAGCCTCCGTCCGAATTTGGCTCACGTGACACGGGTCACGGCATTCGTCACGGCTCAAATGAGCCAATCGCGTGCGACTCGATGGAGCGGAACGCCTCCATCCGAATTCGGCTCACGTGACACGGATCACGGCATTCGTCACGGCTCAAATGAGCCAATCGCGTGCGACTCGATGGAGCGGAACACCTCCGTCCGAATTTCACTCACGTGACATGGAACGTCATGGCATTCCCCATGGCTCAAATTTGCCTATCACGAGCGACTCGGTGGAACGGAACTCCTCCGTCCAGATTCGGAACGCGTATAAAATTGCACCACTGAGCTCTGGTACCATGTCTTGAAAGAAACAACCTGACGGAACTCGCTGCAAACAACACGTATCCCGACTGCCGTAACAAGCAAAAGATGTCTAAGCGCATCCCCGCATGTGGCGCACCGAGTTTAATGCGACTCGAATAAGGTTCTATTCGTACCGGGGAATACCCGCGTGCACGGTTTCGTAAATGTAGCAGGGGAACTGTACTAATGGGTATTGCAGGGGATGCGTGCCACGTGCTTCCTCGGGTTTCGTAGGAGTTGAGCAGCATTTAGCGCAGGATTACGGGTTACACGAATGGTATTTACTCGTGTAGTTATACTGTATATGCTATCTTTAGATAACAAGATTACGCTAGTGACCATGCACTGCGGAGAAACTTGTGCGCAGACTGAACCGCTTGTAATCTGTCAAGTGACCGTCGTGCGTTCTGTAGCTACGAGCTGGTGCTTTTATTTGTTTTTTGACAGCAAAATGCGTGGATTCGGCACCATTTTCGAAAAACACGATGAAAGATAATTGATTCCGTAGGCTTAGCGGGGTGGGTTTTTTTTTTTTAATCTCGGAGGACCTTTACTTTTGCGTTTGTCAGTTGCTCCTTTTCCTCCAAAGCTGGTGCCACTTGACCATGTGGCTGCGGCGGTGCATGTTATGCGGCACTACGCTACACCTTCGTTACCGGGCAGACTTAAGAAAGTGCTTTTGAACTCCCGTGGCTTGGTCCCGAAAAGGGCGTTTCTTCTTTCTTCGCCGGTGGTTTTGCTGGGGAGGGCGGCGATTGGGCGTCCGGAGAGAAACATCGCGCGCCCGCCATCTGATTGCCTTATGCACGAAAACGAAACCAGTCGCATGTCGCAGCTTTTCAGGGGGTAGCTGCTATTTTTGAACAGCGAAGCCTTTTAGAAGAGTTCCCTGTTCAGCCGCATCGAAAAACAAAACATCATTATCATTAATGGCAAGAACCGCAGAAATTTAGCGAATCGCACTAATCACTGGTCCGCTGAAAATAGACTAGACATTCGCTATACTCGGCGACAACTTCTCTTGGCACTGAAGGGAAAGCTATGGAGGCGGAGCTTCTGCACATGTTGCACTACGTAAAGTTGCCCCCGTTTTGGCGCGCATCTGGTAACGCTGTGGAAAGTGACGAGGGCTCACCATCAGTGTTTCATGTAGACGCACGCAGACGCCGCTTAGCGTTTGAGGTGCACGTAAAAAGGCGGGACTTTCTCACGCGTTCAAAAACGTGAAGTCACAACAGTTACATTAAAAGAATTACGAATATCTTACTGGTGTGCACTGCGCCTCGTCTCAAATAGCTCCATGTAAAAAAAAAGGGCAGATCCCATCCACGTACAGCGGGAATTGATGATATGCGAAGCACGAATCAGAAAGGTTGATATGTCATTTTAAAATCAGCACAACTTTACGAGGTGGAGGGAAATGATGCCATACATAACTTCCGTGTCATGCTTATCATGTTTGGATGTGTCGTTTACCTTCGTCACCTATTCACGTCACGTGATTCCAAAATTTTGTATATTTAGAGCTAGCGAAACGACCGCAAGCACACTATGAGCGTGGTATGGTGTCATGTTCTGGCATGACACGCGTGTCAGCATTATATTTGCACCAGGCATAAACTTTCGTCATCCATTGACGTCAATTAACACCGAGTTTGGTATATGTGGAGCTAGCGAAACGGCCGCGGGCGCATAATGAAGGGCCCAATATACTCCAACGAAGTGTTGACGCGCGCGCACGCTGGGCACAGCAACGCTACGTTAGCAACACGCGAGCACGCTACAGTCTGACACCAACCGCGACCAGCGTCCGTCACCGCGGCTCGACGGCAACCGGTCTGAAATGCGACGTGCTGCATTTCGCGCCGATAAGTTACCCACAACACTGCCCCCCCCCCCCCTCCGTATTCACAAACGCTCCTTGACTCGACCCTTCACTCTAAACGCTCCTTGATTGGCGTTTTCCCATTCACAAACCGCCCTTCACTTGAAACGCTTCCTTTACTTGAGAAAACCTCGAGAGTTTCCTCGAGATTGTCAAGGAAGCGATCGAGCTACCTTGAATCACCCCTCGAGTGAAGTTTCTGCGCCAACATCGCGTCCATGGCGGAGCCCGTCTCGCTTTGATGGCGTTTATCGATGAATTTGGCTATTACCCGCACGTTATTTTAACAGTGACGGTGCACGTTCACTACGGAGCTGTCTTGTAACGGTTCGACAACGGCTACTGTGGCGTTACTGTGGCGTCGGGACAGGCGGACGTGGTGTCAAGCGGAGCGCTTACCAGTGCCGTGATGTGTTGTGTTTCGTGCATGAGCCAGTGGATTATCTGCCTTCGGGCGTGCGTATACTCGTCGTGCGAGTGCT